CTACTACATGGAATAGGACACAAAAGTTGTAGAAACTGATGACTTTGTGGGGAGAAGCATTGATGACATTATCTAGTGCTCAGTTTTTAATGTGTAGAATAAACACACCACATAGCCAAACTGCTTTAGCAATAAGTTTGTATTAGGCATATACAGTACATACAATCACCCAGCAGGTACAGATAACCAAGTCATCTAAAATCAAACATAATACAACAAAGATGTACAGTTCATTGTTGAATCACAGCAAAGAACATGCATGCATATAGGTACAATGAGCTACACTTAAAATGTATATGAGCTGACGTTCAGAAATACATGTAGGAATTCAGTACTGAGAATAGAGTAATGAAAATTAAAGCTGAGCCAGACCCTGATGAAAAGAGAGAGGAGGAGGAAAAAAACAATGCTTTGGGGATTTAAAAAAAAAAAAATTCTCAAGAACCTCCTACCTGCTAATTACATTATTTAGTGCTCAGCCAGAGTTATGTTATCTACTATAGAACTACTGGGCCATCTTTAATATTGAATGGAACCTGGGCAAACATTTTCTTGCCCCCCCCCCCCCACAATGCAATTTCACTCTTCACCTGCTCTGAGATATACAATAAATAGTAGCTAAACTCAAAATCAGTTTACAACAGCAGATCATGCAGCAATTGCAAAGTACTACACATCCTTGCCCCTCAATGGTTGGTTGCTAGAGGTTACTGCACATCCTTACCGCTCACCGATTGGTTGCTAGAGGTTACTGCACATCCTTACCTCTCACTGCTTGGTTGCTAGAGGTTACTACACATTATTACTGTTCACCAATTGGTTATTAGAGGTTACTGCACACCCTTATCCCTAAATGATTGGATGCTAGAGGTTACTGCATATTATTACTGTTCACAGATTGGTTGCTAGAGGTTACTGCACATCATTACTTCTTACTGATTGGTTTCTAGAGGCTACTGCACATCATTATTGCTCACTGATTGATTGCTAGAGAATTACAGCAGATCACTACTGTTCACTGATTGGCTGCTGGAGGTTATGACACATGGGAGGGTGATGGGATCAGTGGTAGTGGTGGGGGATGGGTTCAGTTGCAGTGGTGGGGGGATGGAATGAGTGACAGTGCTTGTGGAGGGATGTGATCAGTGGCAGTATTTGGGGGGGGTGGGATCAGTGGCAGTGCTTGGGGTGTATGGGGTCAGTGGCAGTGATAGATGGGGATGAGAGGTGACATTTCTACATTGACTACCAATGTAAGAGGGGATTTAAACTGACCACCAATGTAATGGGGAATTATGCACTTACCACAAATGTAAAGGTAAATTTACAGTGACAACCAATGTAATGGGGAATTTTACACCAACAACAAATAAATGTCTACACTGCCCACCAATGTAAGGGGGAATTTACACTGAGTACCAATTTAGGGGGGCTTCTACATGGACCACCAATGTAAAGGAGGATTCGACACTTACCACAAATGCAACTTAGGGATTTTTTACCGACTACCAATATAAAGAGGAGTTTCTACAGTGGCCAGCAATGTAAAGGGGATTTACAATTACCACTAATGTAATAGGACCATTCACAGTGACCACCAATGTGCGGAGGGATTTACACTGTCCACCAATGTAAGGGGGACATTTACTGACCACTAGTGTGAATGAAAGGATTCTACACCAAGCCCCAATGTGCTGAGAAGGTATAAACTGACCACCAATGTAATTGAGACATTTAGCCTATGTTCACAGTTGTGCATGTTGGGAATCATTGCAAAATCACTTTACTAACACCACAGAAATATGCTGCCCTTTAGCAAATATACAGCAGTGCCACTATTTGTTAATGACACTCTCACGCATCTGCTGATGTGCGCTTTTCCCCATGCACAAAAATTCACCGTGCTGTGGCTCGGTGTGATTTTGAAAAAGGGTCAGGGACTTTATTTCCATATTTCTAGCGCATAGAGCAGACCATTGAAATGAATGGGCTGCCCTACACGTAATGTACAACTTTATCCACCCCAGCTGTACACCTTTGCATCCTAAATTTCCTTGCCAACCTCTGCATCCCAAACCTCCCCTATACTCTTCACTCTAATCCATCCACCTTAACTATACATGCCTCCTCTGCTCATCTTTTCACCCACCTTCCTTATCTCTCTATGTCCCCTCCTTGCTCACCTGCGCGCGCACACACACACACTTTGGTTAAATTTGCAGAACAAGGCTGATGGTTGGCTCAGTGACCACAGTTGCAGACAAGACTTTCAAGCATGCCCCTGTTTACCTCCCCAGTGAGCAGCATTGAGCAGAGGTGATGGTGGCTGAAATGGAAGTGGGGCATAATAGACATATGAATGCCAATGATATTTACATATGAATGCCCCCCTCTATTTATATATCATTGCTGCATTCTATTTACATATGAATGCTGATTATTTACATGTGAATGATGACATGGTCTGCATGAGAGTCATGGCAATAGGGCAGAGATGGGCAGAATAAGTGACAGCACTTCACACTGAGATATTGGGGCACAACCTGGGATGAAGACTTCAAGGGACAAGGGAAGGTAAACTGGGACAGTTGGTAAGTATGGGGCAGCTACATTGGGTCCCACAACAATAGCTGGGCCAAGGGCAGCTGGGCCCCTCTTTAAAGATGGCTCTGTAGAACTATAGAAGAGCACTTTGGCTGAAACCCTGGTTGGCAGATCATCATCAAAGACAAATTGGTACAAAATCCCTTATGACCATTGATGAATTTGGCATCAAAGACAAACTGGTGCAAAAATCCCCTACAACAGGTCTTTTTTCCTTTAGAAAAAACTTGCTATGAACATTTCTCTTCCCCATCCGCTTGTGACACACCTTCAAACCCAATTTCAGAGTTTAGTTATGTGCGAATGTGACATTTTGCTGTACCTTTACTTCATAGACAGGATTCCCTCCGCACCTTTTCCAGTTCTGAGTCACTTTGTAAGACGTCGGCTTCCACTAAGCGTGCCCCATCCCAAATTTATTTATCGATCCAGAATCACATGGCGGAACCTTTACGTGCTTACTGTGCACAATGGAATGTGGAATTTCAGACACAGAAGTTTTTGCTGAGGATTGGGAGTCTATGTGGAAAGGGGTTTCCAGATGCTCTTGTAATATACCAGCATTAGAGAATTCCTATAAAGTGATTTCAAGATGGTATTTTACTCCATCTCGGTTAGCTAAATTTTTACCAGATTATGACTCCCAGTGTTTTAGAGGCTGCTCTCTAGAAAGTACGATGCTCCACATTTGGCGGTCCTGTCCAGTGGCCTGCCGTTTGTGGACTAAAGTTTATAATCTTATTAATTCAGTTACGTCCATTAACCTCAAAAAAGATCCTATTGAGGCCTTACTTTTTAAGCCAATTTGTGACTTACCTCGCAAATCTCACTCTTTGGTCAATTTTTTTTTATGGCTGCTAAGCAGACTATTGCTGGTTCTTGGAAATCCCCTACTCTGCAGTTTGAGTAGGTCAGGTTCAGAATCCAAGGTTGCTTCATCAATGAAAAATTGGTGGCGGTGTTGGAAGATAAACATGATAAGTTTCTCACTGTTTGGCAACTGTGGGTAGATTATGATCCGGTTTCTCGCTGTAACACAAAACTTACCAATCTCTAACGTGTTGAGTTTTGCCTCTCCATTCCCCTTATGTGGGGATCGTGTCTCCCGTCTCCCCCCCCACCCCTTGGCGAACTTCTTTTCTCTGCTAGCCTGTTTCTTCCTTTTCTCTGTTCCTTTTTGTCTTCTTGTTTTTCTGTTTTCTATGGTTTGGGGGCCCCTTGGTCCTCTCTAGATCTACCGTTCTCTTTCCTTCCATATAGTTTGTTTATATTAGACCTATTGTCTACCATTTATTGTTGTTATTTTAGAGGTCTGTTATTCTCAGAGACAACATTGCTTCATGAGGGCATGACTCTCTATGTGCCTTCGCTATGTTGCTTTTTTGTATGTATTTCTTATACCTCTGCATGTGGTTGTTAGGCTACTGGCCCTATGCCTTACGTAGTGTTAGTTAGACTCTACTGCGGGTCTTATATGGGTATCTAAGTCTGTTGTATGATGTCTCCCTTTTTTGTTGTCTGTTATTACTTTGTATCATATTACTTGTATGTTACTTTCAATATGCGTAATAAAATCTTTGGTAAAAGAAATAACTTCCACCCTTAACAAGGTTATAAATGGATACTTAGGTTTAATCCCAATGGACAGGAAACACAGGAGTACATGACAACCACTGGATTGAAAGCAATTTTCTGATCATTACAGGGAGGTTAGTGTAGCATAAATGTAGGAGTAGAATAGTTTGATCAGTAGCTGAGATATGACGTGATCTGTAGAAGTAGTTCAAAAGTAGATATAGTTTAATCCTGTGCAGGGGCGGACTGACCATTTAGACACTCGGGCACTGCCCGAGGGCCTGGGGTCAGTAGGGGGCCCCATGAAATGCCCCTGGTACCTTTCATAGTCTTTTTTGGGTGTGGTTTGAGTGTGGGTGAGGACACAGGGGCCCCATGATTTCCTATTGCCCAGGGGCCGCATGAGTTGTCAGTCCGCCCCTGATCCTGTGTTATAAGTATTCCTTAACCACTAGCCTACAGGGCACTTATACCCCCTTCCTGCCCAGGCCAATTTTCAGCTTTCAGCGCTGTCATACTTTGAATGACAATTGCGCGGTCATGCACCGTACCCATAGGAAATTTTTATAATTTTTTTGAGACAGATAGAGCTTTCTTTTGGTGGTATTTAATCACCTCAGGGTCTTTTATTTTTTGCTAAACAAACCAAAAACCACTGAAAAAAAAGTTTTTTCTTAGTTTTTGTTATAAAATTTTGTAAATAAGTGATTTTTTTCCTTCACTGATGTGCGCTAATGAGGCTGCAGTGATGGCCACTGATAGGCTGCACTGATGGGCAGTGATGAGGAGGCACTGGTAGGTGGCACTGGTGGGCATTGACAGGCATCACTGATGGGCACTGAAAGGCAGCACTCATATATGGCACTGATAGGCGACACTGATAGGCGGCACTGACTGGCACTGTTAGGCGGCACTGACAGGCGGCATTGATGCACACTGATAGGCGGCACTGATGCACACTGATAGGTAGCACTGACTGGCATTAATAGATGGCACTGACTGGCACTGATAGGTAACACTGAAAGGCAGCTCAGATGGGCACTGATATGTGGCATTGATGTACACTGGTAGGCATTGGTATGTGGCATTGATGTGGCACTGATGGGCACTGGCAGGTGGCAATGATGAGCACTGACAGCTGGCACTGATGGACACTGACAGGTGGAACTGCTGGGGCTACACAGATCATCAGTGCCCTGATGATCAGTGCACATGTCCCCTCTGAGTAAAGCTGAACTGGCTCTCCTCACCTCCTGAGCTATCAGCGTGGCAGCTCGTGAGGAGAGAAATGTTAATTGGCATTTTCCTATTATGATCAGCTGGGATTGGAGACAGCTGATCACATGACCGAGCCGACATCTTCGACTCTTTCCGTTGATCGGTGATCAGCTGTGTCCGAGGGACACAACACACCACCGATTGCCGCGCTGCGCACTCCCGGAGCCACCCATGTGCGGTTAGAATGGGAGGACGTCATATGACATCCTCCCAGAATGAGAGAAACCGCCTTGCGCCCATCATAACCTTATATGGTGGGTGGGAGTTAATCAGTCAGAGACATGTTTTTAACTTCTTGCCGACCAGCCACTGTAGAAATACGGTGGCAGGTCGGCACGGCTGGGCAAAACCGTGCATTTGCAAAACAGGTAGGGTGCCTGCCCTACCCATCCCGCCGATCACGGCTGCGGGTGTCAGTCGCCGGGTCACGGCTGGTCATTACCTGCGATTAGCGGCAATCACTGACAGAGAGGACAGCTCCAGTGTTTCTGTCAGTGCTTTCTGTCAGTCCCCTGTCAGCTCCTGACATGCTGATCCGGAGTTTCTCTCTCCGGATCAGCGTGTTCCCCTGCAGTACACACCCCCCCCCCCCCCCTAGTAAAACACTCCCCTCACCAGCTAACCCTTTCAGTAAATAAAGTTAACCCCTTCCTCCCCAGTGCCATTAGTACAGTGTCAGTGTTTTTTTTTTTTTGCACTGATCACTGTATTGGTGTCACTGGGGATGTCAGTGACCCCAAGTCAGTTCCCCCCCAGTGTCAGAGTCTGCCACAGTCCCGCCACTGATCACCGCCATAAGTCGCTGATCGCCGCCATAAGTCCCTGATCGCCGCCATTATTAGTATAAAAAAAAAAATTAAAAATCCCAGTATCTTTCCCGCCATTTGTAAATGCTATAACTTTCGTGTAAACCAATTAATTTACACGTATTGGGGTTTTTTTTTAGCAAAGACACGTCGCAGAATGCATTTTGGCAGATATTTATGACGAAATTTGATTTTTACATTTTTTTCTTACTGGACATGTTTTATAGCAAAAAGTCCAAAATATTGTTTTTTTTCCTCAAAATTGTCAGACTTTTTTTTTATAGCACAAAAAATAAAAAATGCACAGGCGATCAAATACCACCGAAAGAAAGCTCAATTTGTGGGAAAAAAAGAATGTGAATTTCATTTATGTACTGTATTGCATGACCACACAATTGTCCGTTAAGCTAGCACAGCACTGTATAGCAAAAAAATGGCGTAAATTGCAGTATCTATACCATAGTTTGTAGACGCTATAACTTTCACACAAAGGAATCAATATACACTTATTGGGATTTTTTTTACCAAAAACATGTAGCAGAATACATTTTGGCCTAAATTTATAACCAATTTTGAGTTTACTATATATTTTTTATAGCTGAAATTAAAAAATATCTTTTTTCTTCAAAATTTTTGGTCTTTTTTTTGTTTATAGCGTGAAAAATAAAAAGCGCACAGGTGATCAAATACCACCAAAAGAAAGATCTATTTGTGTGAAGAAAAACAAAATTTAATTTGGGTGCAGCATTGCATGACCGCGCAATTATCAGTTGAATTAGTGCAGCGCCGAGTAGCAAAAAGAGGCCTGGTCATTAAGGGGGGTAAATCCTCAGGAGGGCAAGTGGTTAATTAGCATTTGAAAGGACAGAGCAAGCTTCTAGACTACAGTTAACACGTAGTTGTCAATAAAACTTTCTCATCTATGTAGCCAGATTGCAACTTTCTTGAACCTAAAAGAAGAATCCTAGCCATTTCAGCTACATGAATCAGCAGGAGACAGGGAGAAGGCTCTGAAATGTCTGCCAGCTTCGATTTATACTAATAGATCAGAGGAACCTATTTCATCTTTCATAAAAGCTAAAATATTAGTTGCAGAGAGATGAAAATAATTATTTCTGATTGGATACATTTTAGGCTAAATGTACATGTAAAACTGTATTTGTAGCCTAAGTAGAATCCCAGAGAAACACAAAAAATGGTTATATGGTGCCTGATTGCAACATCTGAACAGTGATTGGTACTGTCACGATTGGACTGACGTGCTGGTGTAGGAAATCCTACCTTGACCCAGTGACCTGAACCGTTCCTGGCCCATTTGAGATTGGGCCCTTCAGAACACAGAACATCCTGTGGGCTGGCCCATAACATCCTCCAGAGTTTATTGGCCAAAGGCTAAAGTTCAGCCCACATCCATATTTCAATAAATTGAGGGCATGGGATATGGTTGGTGTGATTCATATGGAGCCAGTTCCATTTGACTGGTGAATTGCAGACTTTCTTTTGACTTGCTTCAGTCACAGGATAAATCTTGGTAAATGTTTTTTATTTCTGTTTTTATTCCCCTTTTATTTCATAGTGAATAGCCAATTGTGTGTCTTTGTCTTTTTTGTATTTGTTGTAATTCCTTTTTTCTTTGTAAATATTTTATGCACTGCCCACTTTTGGGATATTAAATCATAAAATTAATAAGTGACTTCTACTCATACCTCTAGAGAGATTGCTTTATTGTAGTGTTTATGTGTTTGGTGTAAGTTCATTGCCAATCTGTATGCAATTGTGCTGCGTGGTGGCAGATTGCATGCAAATTGTAAAGTAGCAGATCTGCCAGACAGAGATCTGTGTGTGTGTGGCTGCTCAGCAAACCAGTCTGCAGACAAACTGTTGGGTAGTGGCAAGCTACCGTTTCTTGTGTGTTTGGTGTGTGGGGGGGGGTGTGGACAGTGAAAGAGTGATTAACACCAGGGTTCTAGAATGTAGGATAGCTGGAGGAATGCTAGAAGGGTGTGCTAAGTGCTAGAATGCTCCCCAACCCTTAGAGTACAGCAGATTGTATATACAGTGCCTTGAAAAAATATTAATTCCCCTTGAAATATTCCACATTTTGTCATGTTACAATCAAAACCGTGACTGTATTTTATTGGGATTTTAAGTGATAGACGAACACAAAGTGGCACATAATTGAGAAGTGGAAGGAAAATGATTTAAAAATTTTTTACAAATAAATATCTGAAAAGTGTGGTGTGCATTTGTATTCAGCCCCCTTTACTCTGATACCCCTAACTCAAATCTAGTGGAACCAATTACCTTCGGAAGACACTTAATGAGTAAATAGAGTAGAACCAAGATTACCTGTGCGGGAAGTAGAGTCCCACCTGTATGTAATTTAATCTCAGTATAAATACAGCTGTTCTGTGAAGCCCTCAGAGGTTTATTAGAGAACATTAGTGAACAAACAGCATCATGAAGGCCAAGGAACACACTAGACAGGTCAGGGATAAAGTTGTGGAGAAGTTTAAAGCAGGGTTAAGTTATAAAAAAAATATCCCAAGCTTTGAACATCTCAATTCACCATCCGAAAATAGAAAGAGTATGGCACAACTGCAAACCTACCAAGACATGGTCGTCCACCTAAACTGACAAGCTGGGCAAGGAGAGCATTAATCAGAGAAGAAGCCAAGAGGCCCATCGTAACTCTGGAGAAGCTGCAGAGATCCACAGCTCAGGTGGAAGAATCTGTCCACAGGACAGCTTTTAGTCATGCACTCTATAAATCTGGCCTTTATGGAAGAGTTGCAAGCTGAAAGTCATTGTTGAAAGAAAGCCATAAGAAGTTCCGTTTTCAGTTTACGAGAAGCCATGTGGGGGACATAGTAAACATGAAGGTGCTCTGGTCAGATGGGACCAAAATTTTAACTTTTTGGCCTAAAAGCAAAATGCTATGTATGGTGGAAAACTAACATTGCACATCACCCTAAACACACCATCCCCACCGTGAAACATGGTAGTGGCAGCATCATGTGGTGGGGATGCTTTTCTTCAGCAGGGACAGGGAAGCTGATCAGAATTGATGGGAAGATGGATGGCGCCAAATACACGGCAATCTTAGAAGAAAACCTATTAGAGTCTGCAAAAGACTTGAAACTGGGGCAGAGGTTCACCTTCCAGCAGGACAACGACCCTAAAAACTCCTTTTCAGCACATGTTTGCAGCGCACCTAATTGGCTCATAGCAGTGCGTCTTCTGCTACTACTAGCTACTTACATTAATAGCATTTGTAAATAGGTGTACTTTTTTTAAGTACAAAACTGCTTGGTGCTTTTATATCTGATTGGAGTTCAGCTTTAAAGTTGTCCATTTGACAAAAACAATGTTTAGATATTTGTACTGTATAAATGAATTACCACATTGTAAAGTGTGTTCCATTTGTGCATGCTGCTGAAAATTGACTTTCATTTTGTTCTTGTAGTACAATAGATGCTGAACGTCCAGTGGTGTGACTCACAGCCGGAGTACATTGATGGTCAGTTGCTTGGCACTTTGTCCATTCAGAAAATTCTTCCATTCTTTTAACAGAATGCAAGGCTCTCTGTGATTGGAGGAGGGGAGATTGTGACATTCATCTGCACCTTCAGGAGCTTCAGGGGACCCGTTGCAGGAAGAAAAGTGGAAATACTGGAATTTATATACAGAGAAGAGGGACGCAGATGCCTCCAGGCCTCATCTCAGTCATTTCTGTCACATGGAGAGATCTCCAGTAGCAGTTGCAGATAAAGAGTGATGGATTGGAAACATTTGGGAGACCATTTATAGCAGACCACAGGAATGTAAAGAATAACTCCGCTGAGGATAAAGAGCACAACGTAGAGATACTGAAACTCCAGCTGAGGACTGCCAATGATGGGTGCCAGGACTAGGTACACAGCGGCAATAAGTACAATAACCGGAATGATGATCGGAACCTGAAATAAAAATAATGTCATGGTTATGGAGAGAACCAGATATCTCCTGCTTTCATTAAAATATAGGGTGGGTGAAGCAAAGAGATTTATTACAACTCATGATAAATTACACTGATGATCAGTGAGAAGAATGCTCTTTACACTTGAGGTCATTGAGAAGAATTACCCACTTACAGATAGCCAAAAAGGTCACTGGTGCGGAGGGAACTTATCTAAAAGCCAGAAATTGCTCATTGCTCAAGGAACCTCTAGCAACCTCAGGAAGAACCCTGGTTGAGAAACCCTGCTCTAGCAGTTAGGATCTGTTGGATGTGTAACACCCTCTAGTGTACATAGGTTTTTTTGTATAGTTAGAGGCTTGCTAGAAGGTTGGGTATGAGTCAGCTTGGGAGTGAGTCAGCGAGGTTACTTCAGATTTTAAGGCTGAAATGGCTCTGCAGGTCAGTTCTCTTATACCTCCCCCTGTTCTAGAAACATGGAGAAATTTCTAGAAGCCAGTGGGCGGGAGTGAGGAGCGGCTGATCTGTATACATAAGGGAATCTGGCCAATCCCCAGGCAGGAGGCCTAGCATGGTGGCTAGGTCAGCTCTTAAGAGAGAACCTGGTCAGCAGGGGAGTCGGGTGGAAGATAAAGTGAGGAAGCGCTGCTGTGTGGAGCCTGGGAGAAGAGTCTGCCTACAGGCTGAAAGTTGGACAGAAGGACCTCCACTTTCCCACAGTCTACCAGAGAGAGACAGACTGTCGGCAGGGATGGAGCCATCCCAGTGTAAGGCCTAAATCAGCTTTAGCCTTTAAAGCTACAGGAACAGAACAGTGTGAGTACCTCTACACCCCCTGGGCCAAAGAAGGGAAAGGGTGATCAGGTGCAATACCAAACTAGTTTTCCCTGGGACTGCTTAATTTGATTTACATCTGGGTCTGAGGAGGTTCATTTATGGGTACCAAGTGCTCCTTGGAAAGACTATGTGCTGATCTTTCAGAATAAAAGAGCCACTCCTGAAGGAGTAGAAAATCCAGGAGTTGTTCTTTTTGTAATTTTGCTGGGTTTTTGTCCTTTGTGTGTCTAAGAAGTTACCCTCCAAGTTGTTTAAGTTCCATTTGGCATCCCATATACCCCTGAACCCCAAATAAAAAAAAAAAAAAAAAAAAAAAACAAGCTCATGGACTGTTTACTGACTTTGGATGAAAGTGTGAAAAATGTGTGTTGCCTGGCTGTGCAGAGCTTAGGGGGACCCAAAAACTCAGCGGTCATCAAGAGGGTAGATGTATGTGGGGGTGCTGGGTGTAGGGAGAATGTGTGGAGAGAGCTACAATGGGGGTGAGGTTGTTGTCTTTGGTGGGAGATATTGGATGTGGGCAGGATTTGTTGAGTAGGGGATCTGGACTCATTTATTTGCATCATTGCGTATGGTCTCTTTATATTCAATTGAAAGCTAACATGAAGCACTAGTCATACAGTATTGAAAGGTATAATAACTATGACTTATGAGCAAAATTATTGAACTTCGTACGGTTCCTGCATTTTGCACCATTTAAATAAAATGAATAGCAAATAAATCTTCTGTAATATAGAAGAACAAAGATTATATAAGGGAACTATGTGTAGTCAGAGATGCTCTGGTTGGCCCACAAGAGCAAGATAATCTCTTTAAGGAAATTATCTGTAATGTAGTACCATTACTCTCTTCGGTTCAATTCACTTATTTCTTGCTAGCGGATACAACTAATGAGCGGAACATTTTATGACTTACTTGATATGGTCTGGGAATATCCGGCTTCTTAATCTTTATATATATAAGACCAAAAATCGTTATACTGTAGAACAGCCAGGCTGTAAAGCTGAATGTAGACAAGAGAACAAGATTACAATAATCAGAATATATCACGGCAGATACTTAAATGTCCGGTTAGAATAAAGCACATTGGTGTACAGAACCAGTAAAGAAACATCCATAGCCATCATAAAGCTACCCAAGGCTAAAACTTTTCCATAAGGACATTGTAGTTTGTGCAGCTTGATCAGACCCTGTCACTATATAAAAATTTAATTAAATAAAGACAACTATTAAAATAATTGCTTTAATAATTATGTCTCCAGGGAATGGTGAGTGGAATCTTCGTTCTCTTGAAAATTTCAGGGCACTGCTGTGATTCCTCCAGACGCCCACTATGTCACTATTCTGTTCTGTAGTGACATTATAGAAAAAAGAAGTTGTATTGCAGCAGTACCTAGAGCTCTTAGGAGAGCAAGAGTCCACTCGTCACCCAGCAAAAAAAAGTACGTTTAAAAATTCTTTTACAGGGATCAACCTGCTCAAAGAGGCACTAGGAAATGTTTCTAAACAAGTTCAATAGCTCTGGTGAGGCAGCTCTGCACAGCAAGGTTTCCTTCAATGGGCACCCAACAGTAGCTCAAAACCATAAAAAAATACAGAAAGGACAGCCAGACTAAATTTGGGTAAAATGCATTTTAAGGGCAACACCACTCCACCTTCATCGTGGCTACAAGAATGAGCAAAAAGCAGTCATAATGATGAAAAACTATGGCTAGACATGCATATAAATATATATGCCACAAAATCTAGAACATCACATTATAACAGCAGACATGTCACATGAACTTCAAATGAATTATAGAATGCAAAAAGATACAAATGATATACATAGTAAAAACATCCAAAAAAGAAAGTTATTATCTAATGTACAGATGTCAAACTCAAGGCCCGCAGGCCGAATCCAGCCACTTAGGCCATTTCATATGGCCCTCGCACCTCTCCTGCAGCTGCGGCACCTCTGTCGTTTTTTGCCTTCACCTTGTCTCAGCTTTTGGCAGCAGAGAGGAGAACAGAAATTCTTCACCAATTCCTGTGCTTCTCCATGCAGCCACGTAGAAGCTAGTCTCAGCAGCTGGCAGCAGAGAGGACAGAACTCCTCCTGAAGATCCTGTGCCTCTCTGTGCAGCCACCGCAGCCCTCGTCTCTACCTCCCTTGATCTCAGCATTCAACAGAATCCGGCAGCTCACTCCATCCCTCCTCTAGTACTTCTCCTGACCCTGCACTTTCTGCTTCCCAATTCCATCCCAAGATTCTTCCTGGCAGCATCACAAGGTAAGGAGGTGCACTGTGATGTAAGGGAGGGTGAGGGACTGTTTACTTCTGATGGTGGGGGGTTCCTGATATCTGATGTAAGGGATGGGTAGGGTGCTCTGGACATCTACTCTTACAGATACAGAAGGTCCTTTGAGGCCAACCATAATGTTTATGAGGCCTGAGATGAAATTGAGTTTAACACCCCTAATCTAATGTAAACATTTATTAAATTGCATCACAAAGAAAATGAGCAAAAATGTACTGAAACATCTGTTGCAATAGTGTAAGTAATTGCCTATTAGAACAAGTACTTAAAAAGTAAGTAATGAAACACAGTAAGAGACCAAGCTGCTAAAATAAAAATAATTGACTCCTAAAATCAGTTAAAACATATTGAAAGACCATGCTGCTGAAATAAACTGGTTTTATTTGTTTTATTTCAGCAACATGATCTCTCAAGTTTTTTTAAAAACTGTTATTAAACACTCAACAGTAAAATCAGTATGTATACGCAGTAAAGCATGCTTGTTATACTCACTGTGGAACCCAAGGGATTAATCTTCCATATTGTGTAAAAAGTCTGTTTGATCCTGTCTTCTCTGATCCTCCCCTTCTTCCACAGTCCCCAAGTCATCTGCTGATAGTACAGAGCCCTAGGAGGCACTCTGCACATGCTCAGCTTGGTATATATTGCTAGAGAGGTTTTTTTTTTGTTGGGGGGGGGGTGCATGTGAGCACAGTGCCAATCAGCAGGGTGCTAGATTATTTTGCATTTTAGGAAAGATTTGCCACCCCCCCACCCCTCCAAAAAAAAAAGTAAATTAATAAAAAAATTTAAATCAGTAGAAACTATTAAATCAACTAAATATGAAACTGCTAAATTTCTTTTAATTTGCAAGAATAAGTGCCATAAAATGCCACCAGCACCAGAATCAGTGTCACAGGGCGGACTGTATCTGTGGCTGGCAGTGGCAGGCTGACAGTTGCAGTGAGTGGGAGGATGATGGATCCACACTCTGACAGATCCTAGACTGGAATTCCCCCAGGCAAGGGGGGGGGGGGATAAAACACTGCGACATCCCAGCCACACACACACACACACAGATCAGCAGGCACTAGAAGAGCAGGCTGGGGGATCATGATGATGTCATCACTCACAGACACATTGCACATGTGATGGATATCCAGCTGGCCGGGTCACACTCACACAGACACAAGACATCATAGTCAGACATTACCTTACTCCGCAGGCACAGCTCCACTGCTGATGAATGGGAAGAGAAGGGCTGAAACACCACAGTGATCAGCAGCCACCAGCCGGCTTGCCGTAAGGGACTGAGTCTGAGAGGAACACTGGAAGGCGCGGCAGCTCAACTGCTAGACTGGCCACATTCATTCATGACGTGGCAGCATCGCACACAGAAAGAGTAGCTGCCTGTGCTGCGCCCAGGCGTCCCTAGGTGGTACTGCTGCCTAGTTTGCCTAGTGGAAGCACCAGTTCTGCCAATCCAGAAAGAGAGTTTGGTGTTATGAAGCCTCATAGGACAGTCAGTGAAAAATACAGACTCCTCCTACAAGCTTTTACCAGTGCTCGGCTGAACACTGATGGAAATCACAAGACTGCTCTAACTGCTGATGAGAAAATGTATTTAGCAGTTTATATTTACTAAAATAATTGCACTTCCATGTTCTGTGTACTGTGAGAGACCAGATATAGTGAATGCAGGGTCCTGGGTTTAGTAACACTTTATCTGATTTTAGGAGTCAATTAGTTTTGTTTCAGCAACTTGGTCTATTAATGTGTTTTAGTTCTTAATTTTAGTACTTGTTCTGGCAGCCAGTTACTTCTATTTCAGCAACCTGATTCCTTAGTATTGCACATTTTCTATTTGATGCAGTTTATTATATGTTTACATTATACATCATATCATCTTTCTTTATTGGATGTTTTTACTGTGTATATTGCTAGATTTTGTGGTTACTATTCATATACAGGGGCGGACTGACCATTTGGGAACTCGGGCACTGGCCGAGGGCCCGGGGTCAGTAGGGGGCCCCATGAGATGCCCCTGGTACCTTTTCATAGGTTTTTTTTTGGGTGTGGTTTGAGTGTAGGCGAGGACACAGGGGCCCCATGATCTCCTTTTGCCCGGGGGCCCCATGAGTTGTCAGTCCACCCTGTTCATATACATATCTAGACATAATGTTTCATCATTATGACCATATGCTTTTTGGCTATTCTTGTGGCCCTGATGAAGGGGAAATGGCATTACCCCAAAACGCGTTGGATGGTTTCATATGACTTTTTTTTTTTTATTGACCAATAAATTATCGTGAACTCTTATCCGATTATGGTCTTGCTTTCCTATCTGTATTTTTATGGTTCTTGTGCAGGGTGGCTTTGCTTTATTATATTAATATAGGGACAGGGTCGCTATAAAGGTAAGCACAGATTATATTATATACGATTGTTTAATCATCTAAAGATGAATAGGTCAAACTAAGCTTATGAAAATATTGTTTGGAGAAAAACAGGTGAAAAATTCCAGCTTTACAGATTGATTTTCAAAAGATCTCTCTTAGATAAATGAACATTTCACTCATAACTGGCCATTTCTTCAGACCAATGACCTATGTCTTTGGATGGTCAAATCTCAGGTCATACTGGCAATTCTGGCAACCCTTGCCAAAGGAAGAATCAACAGGGTGCAGATGCCACGTTTCCTAAAGGAATTCACAGCTCTGCTGGCTGAAACATCTGAAGATGAAAGAAATTCTGGATGAAATGTATTCACTTACCTGAAGAAGTTTACGATAGTGCTGAAATCTCCTGGAATGATCATTATTAATGAGATGACTGTTGTGAAGATCAGGGCTGGGGATGGTGTGAGCCGCTTCACATGAACCATTGACAGAACATCAGGCTGCAGATGAAATTTCGGTATTATAAAAAGTAATAATAATTCTAAATGATGATATAATAGTATACATAGAAATAATACTTACAAAATCTAAAACTAGCATCACCATATACAGTAAACAAATCTGATTAACTACAGTCATGGCCGAAATTGTTGGCACCCTTGATATTTTTCCTGAAAATCAAGTATTTCACACAAAAAAGGTATTGCATTAACACATGTTTTGCTATACACATGTTTATTCCCTTTGTATGTATTGGAACAAATATAAAACAGAGGCAGAAAAGCAAATATGACATAATGTCACACAAAACCCCAAAAATGGGCTGGACAAAAGTATTGGCACCCTTAACTTAATATTTGGTTGCACACCCTTTGGAAAACATAACTGAAATCAGTCGCTTCCTATAACCATCAATAAGCTTCTGACACCTCTCACCCGGAATTTTGGACCACTCTTCCTTTGCAAACAGCTCCAGGTCTCTCTTATTGGAAGGACACCTTTTCCCAACAGCAATTTTAAGATCTCTCCACAGGTGTTCAATGGGATTTAGATCTGGGCTCATTGCTGGCCACTTCAGAACTCTCCAGCGCTTCTTCTTTGCCATCCATTTCTGAGTGCTTTTTGACGTATGTTTGGGGTCATTGTCCTGCTGGAAGACCCAGGATCTTGGACGCAAACCCAGCTTTCTGACACTGGGCCCTACAGTGCGACCCAAAATCCTTTGGTAATCCTCAGATTTCATGATGCCTTGCACACAGTCAAGGCACCCAGTGCCAGAGGCAGCAAAACAACCCCAAAACATCATTGAACCTCCACCATATTTTACCGTAGGTACTGTGTTTTGTTCTTTGTAGGCCTCATTCCGTTTTCGGTAAACAGTAGAATGATGTGCTTTACCGAAAAGCTCTATCTTGGTCTCATCTGTCCACAAGACGTTTTCCCAGAAGGCTTTTGGCTTACTCAAGTACATTTTGGCAAACTGTAGTCTTGCTTTTTTATGTCTCTGTGTCAGCAGTGGGGTCCTCCTGGGTCTCCTGCCATAGCGTTTCATTTCATTTAAATGTCGACGGATAGTTCGCGCTGACACTGATGCTCCCTGAGCCTGCAGGACAGCTTGAATGTCTTTGGAACATGTTTGGGGCTGCTTATCCACCATCCGGACTATTCTGCGTTGCAATCTTTCATCAATTTTCCTCATCCGTCCACGACCAGGGAGATTAGCTACAGTGCCATGGGTTGCAAACTTCTTGATAATGTTGCGCACTGTGGACAAAGGCAAATCTAGTTCTCTGGAGATGGACTTGTAACCTTGAGATTGTTGATATTTTGCCACAATTTTGGTTCTCAGGTCCTCAGACAGTTCTCGTCTCCTCTTTCTGTTGTCCATGCTTAGTGTGGCACAGACAGACACACAATGCAAAGGTTAAGTGAACGTCTCTCCTTTTTATCTGCTTTCAGGTGTGATTTCTATATTGCCCACACCTGTTACTTGCCCCAGGTGAGTTTACAGGAGCATCACATGCTTGTAACATTCTTATTTATCCGCAGTTGTGAAAGGGTGCCAATACTTTTGTCCAGCCCATTTTTGGAGGTTTGTGTGACATTATGTCGAATTTGCTTTCTTTCCTCCCTTTTTTTGTTTTGTCCCAATACACACAAAGGGAATAAACATGTGTATAGCAAAACATGTGTTAATGCAATACGTTTCGTGAGAAATACATGATTTCCTGGAGAAATATCAAGGGTGCCAACAATTTCGGCCATGACTGTATATCTAAGGCAATAGACAGAGTAGGAAATGGTTAGAACCCCTTTCAGGGTTTTTTTGCCATTTGTCTCGCATTGATTTACATTCACTTCTTGTCCTTTAGGCACACAAGGCATTCAGAGGAAATCTCTCCAATGTGAATGAAATGCACTCTTGACAGTTGCCACCGCAATCAGTGTCCTTATTGGAAGAGTTCTCTTCTATTCCTGTTCCTGTTTTTTTTCTCTTTCTCAGTGGTGGTCAACTTGCTAGTTACAGGGATCCTTCATCGTGACCCATGACACTGGTATGTATGGATCATAAAATTATTTCATACTGTATATAATTCAGTTAAACCAAATGCAAGCTCAAGACAAAAATATGTAGCACCCACCTAGTTAGCTAGAGGAACTAGCTAATTATGTTTTAGTTAGAAGGGCTGAGTAGCAGCCTGGGTGATAGTCAGAGGGTCAAATTTGGGAGAGCCCTCCAAGAAGAGTTTTGCTGCGTAAAGACTTGTAGATACTTGCTAGGAAGTTGTCCTCAGTTTGCAGTTCCCTTGGGCATCCCATAGACCTCTTCCCATCCAATTTCAATTCCCCTAATAAAACTAAAAACCAAGCTCGAGAACTGTTTTACTGTCTCTGGAATGTAGGTCTGAAGAAGCGTGTTGCCTGGCTGTGCAGGACTATAGGGGGCCCAAAATCTCTAGTGACTCCTAAGGTTGTAGTGCTACATATGTAATATATTGCAGCTTACCAGTCCTTAGATGTTGTAGCTGCATTAGATCTCCATTTTTGGCTTGAATCTGCCAATAACACCATTCCTGACCTAAGGTGACAATGCTGACCTGTTTCTATGGAGCAGCAGTGTTTTCACCCTAGAGTTGGACTACAGAACACCTCCCTCTCTCCGCTTCTCAAAAAAATAGGGGGAACGTGTTCAGTTGTCCACAGAAGTTAATTTTGAAAAATTCTGATAACAGTCAGGAGAGAACACATTTGGATATGGAGACAGGAGCGTCCGGTGGCCAGAGCGATGCCACACTTGATGGAAGGATTACAACTGTTTGAAAAAAATTATTATTTTTTTTTTTAAAACTACTGTACAAATTGAACCCCGAATTCTGGTGAACTACCACGGTGCTGTGGAGCGCTGTGGTGGTTCACTGAGTCTTCCTGTCAGTATATCTGCTTGCCCATGCATCCTGTATGGGGAAGCAGATATATTGACAGATCTAAAGGAGACCTGCATGGCACCAGCAATCTAGTGATCACTGGTGCAATGGTTTACAGGCTCCTGCAACAAAAAATAATAAATGCACATTTTTTTTTTTTACCTGCAAAAAAAATGTGCATTTATTATTTTTTGTATAAAGGTGAACTTATCCTTTAATTGAAAAAGCTGAAGATAGAAGCTGATTGGCTACCACACATAACTGCACCAAACTCTGAGTGTGCCATTTTTAGTAAATCTCCCCCTATGGAACAATGGTACAATAATTTTAAAAATGATTAGCATATTTCACATTTTGCTTTGTTTGGCATTACAAACTGAAATCTTACGTTACATTTCTACAAAAAAGTCCATAGTATAAAAGCAGAGAAAGAAAATCTCTATAATTCTTATATTTATGTAAAAATAGAAAATTGGAAAGTCCTCACTGTATAGGCATTAACGCCAAAACCAGTAAGACCCCGGTCACAATAGGTGCGACTTGCAATGCGATTTACCATGACATGTGACTTGCAAATCTCATGGCAAGTCGCACCTAGTGTCCACAATTAAAGAGGTCATATTGGTGCAATTCTGACTTGGTTGGAGCTGCACCGATTTCTGAAGTAGCACCTCAAGTCGGAATACCATTCGACTTAAAATTGTGTGACTTCACTGGAAATCACACGATTTCAAAGTCGGATCGGTGTGACCAGGGTGTAAACAAGCTCTGATGCAACCAACTGCCTTCAGAAGTCACATAATTAAATTAATGGAGTCCACCTGTGTGTAGTTAAAATGTCTCAATCATCTGAAAAAAAATCTCAGAAATACCTCAAAACAACTAAAGAAATGGCAACATGAGGATCGTGATGATGTCAAAACAAGCCTGAGATAAAGTTCTAGACAAGCATCAAACACAGGAGAAATCAGGAAGAATTAAAAAGACCTACCAAATGGCCCTCTCTGGCTGCCACATAGCACAAACGGCCCCCACTGAAGAAGGTTCCATTGGCTGAACCGAAAGTAGAAAGTGCCACCCCAAGAGATATAATCCAAGTCCAGCTGCCCAGCACCTTTAGCCTAAGATAACAGATGATAATGATAAAAACAAGACATATTGAATAAAGTGTAAAAAAAAAAAACATAGAAACAACAAACACATCTCTGCAAAACAAGCAAGTTTCCTTATGTAGCACCCTCCTACGTTAGCTAGCAGGAGCTAAACTAATGGCTAGAGAGTAGCTGATCAGCAACTCAGGTGAGATAGAGGGGTAAAATTCTGGTCAGGACTGAGAGATTCTCTGCAGGTCAGCCCCTCTGGAATTTCCCCCTGCTCTGAGGCTTTTAGAGGAGGGCCTTGGAGGTAGTGGGTGGATCTGAGGAGTGGTTGGATGCACGTTTGAAGGTTCTCAGCCAATCCTCAACAGGAAGCTTGGCAAGGAGCTGGACTCTCTTAAAAGTGTAGGAGTCTGCTCAGTAGCAGGAGTGTGGTGGTGGGGAGAGGAGTGAGAAGCAGGAAGATGTGAGGCTGGAGGAGGAAGGCTGCCAAGAGGCCTAGTGGGATGGGGCCTGCCTGCGAGCCTGGAGCTGGAAAGGAGGAAAAGTCCAGAAAGGATACAACAAAGAAGAGAGGAAAAGGGGGGAGAGAACAGCAACAAAAGAAGGAGAGAAACATAGGAGAAGGTATATACAATCTTAGCTCAGTCCCATTATGCAAAGAAAAAGAAGCTGTTTTGGATTTGGGGCTTAAATTCGCACCTATATCTAATCTGAACAAATTCCAGACGTACAGTATATTGATTTGAATAAATATGTTAGAACAGGGGTGGGCAACTGTGGCCCTCCAGCTGTTGGTGAACTACAAGTCCCATCATGCTTCTGCCTTTGGGAGTCATGCTTGTAACTGTGCAATGCCTCATGGGACTTGTAGTTCTACAACAGCTGGAGGGCCACAGTTGCCCACCCCTGTGTTAGAAAATTAAATATTAAAAAATACTTTGCATCCCTCCCTGGTCCTACGAATATGGTTGTTAGTGGAAGAATTCACCATGATATGATTGAGAGCGGTTTTAGGAATAAATCCACTTTTAATCCTATTATTTCAGCAAATAAAAATATTGAAGTATTTAAACAAATGGTAAGCATGGATTTGAAAGAACTAGAGATTAAAAAACAAAGAGATGAATATATAGTACAAGGGCTTGAACAGCTAGAAGAAAAGAAAAATATAATTATAATTATTCATCCAGCTGACAAGGGTGGTGGGGGGTGGTACTCTTAAATAGGGAGGATTATGAAGGTGAGATGGAAAAAGTTTTGAGCAATGACACTACATATGTAAATATCAAAGGGAATTCAACGAGAAGATTGAGGAAGGAGTTAAGTGGTTTAATCACTAAGGATAAAAATATGAGAATATTAAATGAGAAAGAGGCTAAATATTTTGTCCCCATTTGTTGTAAAGTTCCTATATTTTATTATTTACCTAAAATTCATAAAAGTTTGACTCAGCCTCCAGGTAGACCCATTCTCAGCCTCAGTACATTCTAGAACTGGAGAAATACGTAGATATATTTTTACAACCCATAGTTAAACAAAAACCGGCATATCTTAACTACGCTGCCGACCGCAGATAGCCGAATGACGGCTGCACTGCGGCCGGCCAGTTCTGGGTGGACGTCATATGACGTCCTCCCAGAACGCGCTCTCTTGCGCGCCCCAGGGGGCGCGCACCCGGCGATCTCCGTGATCGCTGTGTCCTACGGACACAGCTGATCACGTGATGTGGTAAAAGGCCAATCACAGCGGCCTTTTACCACGTGATCAGCGGTGTCCAATGACACGCTGATCAGAGGGAAATGCAAGTGCCAGTTCTCGGCTGCACTTTCCTCACGCTGTCAGATCGTGAGGAAAGTACTGCCGAGAACCGGCAGTTGTCAGAGCGGGGATCGGCACCGATCATCAGGGCACTGATGATCAGTGCCCTGATGATCGGTGCCCAGCAGTGCCACCCGCAAGCTCCGCCCACCTGTGCCCAGCAGTGCGCCCACTAGCTCCGCCCACCTGTGCCCAGCAGATCACCCACCTGTGCCCAGCAGTGCACCCACCTGTGCCCAGCAGTGCACCCACCTGTGCCACTCTGCAGTGTCACACACCTGTGCCCAGCAGTGCCACCCACCTGTGCCCACCCACCAGTGCCCACCCACCAGTGCCCACCCACCAGTGCCCACCCACCAGTGCCCAGGGGTTGTGCCAGTCAGTGCCGCCAGTCAGTGCCGTCTATCAGTACCCATCATCAATGTCACCTATCAGTGCCGCCTATCAGTGCTGCATATTAGTGCCGCCTATCCGTGACACCTCATTAGTGCTGTCTATCAGTGCCGCCTATCCGTGCCACCTCATTAGTACTGCCTATCAGTGCCCTTTAGTGCTGCCTATCAGTGCCCATCAGTGCCGCCTATCAGTGCCCATCAGTGCTGCCTCATCAACGCACATGAGTGAAGGAGAAAAATTACCTATTTGAAAAATTTTATAATAGAAACAAAGAAACTTTTTTTTTTTTCAAATTTTTTGGGCTTTTTTTTATTTATAGCGCAAAAAGTAAAAGTGCCCAGTGGCGATTAAATACCACCAAAAGAAAGCTCTATTTGTGAGAAAAAAATGATCAAAATTTCATATGGGTACAATGTTGCATGACCGCGCAATTGTCAATCAAAGTGCGGCAGCGCTGAAAGCTGAAAATTGGCCTGGTAAATAAGGGGGTATAAGTGCCTGGTAGGCAAGTGGTTAAGGATGGACAAGATGCTATTGATATTATTGAGTATATGGAAGGGGGGAAAGACATCACATTAGCTACCATAGATGTCAACTCCCTCTATACGAGTATTAGACATGAGGATGGGGTGAGTGCAGTTAAATGGGCCCTCAGGAGATATACAAATATTGAGAGGAAGCAAAGGAAAATTTATTATACAGTTACTAGAATTTGGTATGCATAACAACTACTTTTGGTATGGAGGCAAATTTTATATTAAAAAAAGAGGTGTAGTAATGGATGCGAAGTTCGCACCAAGTCTTGCAAATATCTTTATGTTAAGATGGGAGAATGACCAGATTTTTGGAAAGGAATGGAAAGGATTAAAACTATGAAAAAGGTTTATCGTTGCCACTTTGTAATCTGGGAGGGAAATAAAAATTTGTTTAATGATTTCATGTTATATATAGATACTAATCCCTACGGCCTAGGGTTCTCTAAGTTTATCGACACTCAATCAGTCAATTTTCTGGATTTGAATATTTTTCAAGAGGATAACAGCTTTTACACCAAAACCTATTTTAAAATTACAGATCGGAATAGATATATTCCAACATTTAGTTGTCATCATCCTCTTTGGACTAAGGGAGTCCCAAAGGGGCAATTTTGCTGGATAAGAAGAAATTGTTCAAGGTTAGTAGATTATATTGAACAAACCGAATTAATTAAATTACATTTTGTTGATAAAGGTTTTGATTCGTAAGAATTAGAAAAGCCTAGATTTGAAGTTAGCAAAGGGTACATAGGAGGTAGAAGAGTGAATAAAAGTCTAGGGTAAACAGAAAAAGAAAAAGTGGAGTATGCATTAATTTCCAACTATAGCTGTCAATTTAAAGATATGGAGGCAATCATTAAGAAATACTGGTCCATTAAGAGAAGGGATAGAATTCTGGGTCCCCTACTCCCTAAAAAATTACCATTTCGAATTAAAAGGTTTCTTTCCGTGTAGAAAATGTAATATTTGTAGAACAACAAAAATAAAGCAAGAAAGATTGATAATTTCATATCTCACACGATGGGCAGGGAATATAATGTTAAAAAATGTATAACATGCACCACCTCATGCGTCACATGCTTCTTAGAATGTCCCTGCAAATTTCAATATGTGGGCCGCACTACAAGACAGCTATATGTTAGATTGAGACAACATGTGACCAATATTAAGAAAGGGAAAAAAAGATCATAATTTATTGAAACATTTTAGGGATGCACATAATCATGACCCTTCTTTTCTTAAATTCTGTGGAATAGATACAATAGAGAGGGATAAATGAGACTAGAGAAATTTCCAAGAATGAAACTTTTTGGATATATGAGATCGACACCATGAAACCAAAAGGGTTAAATGTGGATTTGGATCCTCAATTGTTTCTTTTCTAATACTTAGTTTTGGGAATCTAAGTTATATCTGAGTTTGTAGGGGTTATCTGTTTAGTACCACCCTTATCCAATACATTATGTACAGTCTGAATCTGGGATTACTGGGATGTGTTAGCGTGTTTTATTATTATTAGCCTTTTTCCCCCTGCTTTTGAGATAGATACATAGACTATATATGTATAATTCAGATGGTTAGTAGTACTCATAACTAAAATCTAGTACTCTTGCCTGTATCTGAGAGATAGTTTCCCTCTTTGGACGTTCATGTATGATTCTTTCATCCGTAAGGTTTACATTGGTTTTAAAGGGGGGCTATTTATTGAAGGAGAGTATTCTTATGTATTCTAATTGGGGGTTGTACTCAATTGGGATTAGTAGGAGGATGTCTCAGTTTTAGTGGTAAATTTGGCCTGTTTCATAGAGTATATTGCTTAGGTGTAATTTGTGTTTTTACCACAAGATGTCAGCTGGAAGAAATTTCTAATGGGCCATTTGCAGGTTCATGTTTGTGATCCGTTTAAAGAATATTTAATATCTGTCTTATTATTACGTTTTAGGATACTGTTTATAAGTATATAGATTGTAGGATGTATTTGTTTATTTAGTTTACATTGTAGCACCTTAGCCCTCTCTTATAAGATGGAGATCTAAGGAGAAGTGAGGGGGCGGTGTGCAGTGTATTTAAGAGGCCACACTTCTGACGGATACATGCTTTGACAAAGTTGTATTGAAGAAACGTGTCATAAAGTGACATCCAATGCAAAGCTGGAAGTTGCGTGGTGGCCATTTTGGAAGAGGTCCGGTCCTTTGGAATTTGTACCAATGCTGATGTACATAGTACAAATTGTAAGCACTTTTTTATTGAACAAATTTCATTGCCTTGATA